CTTTTAAATAATATTTTCACAGCGTACAACGGTATTATAATAAAACGCAAATTAACATCAAAAGAGTTTAATCAAAATGGACTACAGTTTTATAACTCATTATTTGTACTATTACCGGCCTTACTACTATTTTACATGACAGAAGATTTCGATAAAGTTAGTGTATACTATTAGTTTTGACATAAAACTCTTGCTCAAAGTTGATATTAATATGGAAAATATTGTTGTTTCGAATAAGTATCGACTTAATTGTAGAGAAACAACTATTTGTAGTTCAAAGTTTATTCTTATACTTACATATTGCAAACTCTTGATATAATCATTGATTTTTGTCAAGATCCGAAGGATATTCTGCGAACTGGAATGCCAGCGTTTTTAATGAAGTAGAAGACTAAACAGACTATTTCAGTAGATAAATTCACAATATCCACATTTTAAAAACTGTTCGTTTTTCTTTCTCTATTTTAGCTTCGTTCATTTGACAAATATTTTGATGTTGGTTTTATGTTTGCATTTTTTCTATCTTCAATCATGGGTTTTATTTTAAATTATTCAACTTTATTATGTACTAGTTATAATTCAGCATTAACAACTGCTGTTGTTGGTGCAGTCAAAGTACGTTATTTTGTCACAGAAATTCAATTAGCAATAGAGACACTTTGCATACTGATCAGGGGATGGATCGTTATCCGTTACCATTACCTCCGTTACTCAGGTAACAATAGCGATATTATCGTTAACCACAAAATCATTAAACGGCTTTTCGTTACCGTTCCTAGTAAAGGGTAATGATTCAAGCGTTACCGTTATCAGTAACAGGTAACGGCCGTTACTTGTAACGGGTAACGGTTAAATCAAATGGTAAGGATAACTTTCACGTCTATTGTTTGTTTGTTATTACTATCGATATTTGCAGACGAAATAAAATTTAGATCTTATTATCCATCTCAAAATACGATGCACTCGGATGTTTTCGAATAACTGAAAGACAACAAATGACAGAAACTTGCGGTTTTCAATAATCGAAAAAGGACACTTAAGGCTATATTTTCATAAGCAAAATCTTCTTTCAAAAACATTCAGAAAATCGGTTTTCTACAAGATCTTTGGAAAACTAGCTCGAATTTCTAGAAACCGACATAGTAATCTATCGTTTGTTTTTCTTAGATAAATAGTTCGAAGTGTCCTTTACAAAGTAAGATCTAAGTAAAAGTTTGGTTTTGCTTGGTTCGAGCGTTACGGACCTTTTTATTGTTGATAAACTAGTTATTCGAAAACAACTGACGAGATTAAATCAATGATTCTGAGGCATATAGATCTATTAGCACGGAAATCTGTCAGAACAGAAAGCAAAAAAGTACAAAAATATCAATATGGCTTATATAAAAGAAAATCGATGGGAAACATCAAGAAAAGTGCTTTTCTGTAATCCTGAAAAGTTTTGAACTTTCACTTGAAAATCGTGACAGCACATTATTTATTAAATTATTTCGTTCTTTGCTGACGCATCTTTTAGTTGGTAAAAAGAATTAACGTTTTTGTGTTTGTTTTTAGAACATGGCCGTGACTTATGCTGGAATGTTTGTTGGTGGAGATTATATCTATTCACCCATTAATTTTATTGGACTCAATATCAGGTAGGACGATAATAGAAACTTTGATAAAATTGTAAATGAAATATACAGAAAACTCTCAATATCTTAGCTTTGCCTTCATGTACTAAACGAAATTTATGTAGAAAATCATGGAATATTTATTTATCCTTACTTTGTCTAGTTGATTATTTAAACTATTAGAATATCTACTTCGTCTATTTTAGTGCTTTTGGCAGTGTTATTTATTCATGGATAGCATTTACACGAAAAGTAACGCCATCAAAGATTAAAAAAGGTAGTATTATATATATAAAGAGATTTTTCAAAAGAAGTGCTTTGATTTATGCTGTATTTCTGGTGATAGAGTGTTTAAGTAAATGATTAATCATAGTCAGATTTATTTTTCCTACTAATCGGCACTTTAATTTTCTCTAGAAACAGATATTCCTATCTTTGCTCGTAAACAGATATCCAATAATGATTGCTCTGCGTATGCTTATATTCTTAGCAATTGTTGTATTTTTCTTCTCCAGAAGAAATGTTTCTAAACTAAAATGAAAGAATTAAGAAGACAGAATTATCTTTTGACTGATTGCAACTTTATCTAAAATTGTTTTCGAAAGATCTTTATGAATAAGAAGAAGTCTTTTTATCAATCTAATGGGTGTTACAGAAAGAATGGCGTAGTTTTTATTTAAAGTTTTTCTCCTTTTCCTTTGAACTTACAGAATTCATTTTATTACTAGATGATTCTTAATTCATTTCTCTACACAATAGTGTATAGAAGATGATCATACGGTTTAAGACACTGTCTTAATTGAACAAACATCGAAATGCCTGAAAAACTTAAAAGTTTTTCCGACGATAGTTGTGAAGTTTGAACTCCATTTTGAAAGTGATTGGAAGAAGATAGCACATAAGTTTCTAGGACGTTTAGATGTCCTTTAGACGTCCTCTTTCAGATGGCGTAAGACTCATTTCCTTCCAGTGGTCTGATGTGGTAAAAATAAAAAAAAATAAAACTGGCAGCCATTACTGAACAAAATGCGCTCATTTCAACATCGCCATTATTCAGAAACGTTACCTCAAGCGTTTTGCACGTGAGTCGAGTAGACCAAACATTTGTCTTCAAAATGACGCAAGAATGAGCCTGATTGGTTCAGTTTTGCCTGAGCAGTATTCATTTTACAAATAGCCCCAAAATGCAGGTTGAAAAAGCTGAAAAAACGGTTGTAGGGCTTCTGCAAAAATCATTACTGAAAACACAGAAATAACGATAGAAAGTCTGTATTATGGCTAATCGGTAGAGAATTTTAAGAGCTATATTTTGGCCTACTTGCTCTAGATACAATGCATACGTTCAACTTCATACTGATGAAATCACTTTTTTGTGTTAAACTTTTTAAGTTTTTCGGACATTTCGATGTTTGTTCAATTTAGACAGTGTCTTAAACCGTATGATCATCTTCTATACACTATTGTGTAGAGAAATGAATTAAGAATCATTTGGTAATACAATGAGTTCTGTAAGTTCAAAGGAAGAGGAGAAAAACTGAACATAAAAACTACGCCATTCTTTCTGTAACACCCATTCGATTGATAAAAAGACTTCTTATTCCTATGCTATTATTGTTTATGTTATTTATTGTTGTTTCATTCAAAACAAAAACTATTGTTAAAATATGTGTTTCAATTACACATTTTCAATGGAATATGGTACACATACACACATGTTTCGTGCATCTGTCAATCCCATTTTTTGATCTGATTAGATATAACCTGTCCTATAATGCAAGACATACAAGGAGAATATGCAAATCTTTTACCTTTGATTTCATAACTTCCTGGTATGTTTTGTGTATCAAAGTATCTATGATGTTGTGAGACGATAGTTCGAGTGAGAGAATGAATTGTATGCTTTTTGAACAATATTTCAAGGCAAGTTAAGTCGAACAGAAAAAAATAACCAATTTTTTATTATTTTATTTTTATAATCGACATTTTTATGTTGTTGTTGTTGCTATTATTGGTTATACCTATTGATAAACTAAAATAAATACACTTTTGTATTGGACATTGCTTAGTGGTGACTGTAGTGCACAACTGCTACTATTTGTTGCTTGCATGATTTGTTTTATGTTTTGAGACTGAATAACTGTCCGACATCTCTGTCTCTTACAGAGTATCTAATCAATTGAAAAAACGAATCTCTTTGCTGTTATTCATTTACATTCGTCAAGGATTTTATTTATTTAGACGAATAACCTGTGATCGACAGTACAAGTATGATAATAATTTTTATTCGAACAAATGTCCTGTATTGGTCTTTTTAATTGATTTGTTTTTTGTTTTTTTATTTATTTGTTTTCATTTCTGAATAAAAAGTCATGATAATTGATAGAGACAGAAATAAAATATGTCATCTGACGAATCATGTAAGATGATCTTCAGTGATATATTTCTCTCATTTACTATAAAAGATTTTTATCTTCATTGATTTTGATTCGAAGTAGAAGGATAAATTTTCGCATTTCTTTGTGAAAGTACAAGCTACGATATATATTAAATTCTATATATATATCTACTCACTAAGCCTTCACCAGAGTTATATCAAAAACGTTGTTTATCTTTATCGTCAAAGATGAACTTCTTCAAAATGGAAAGATATTAATTTTGATATTTTAAACTCGACTTGTTTTGAACTAGATAAATTTTTGTTTTACAACCGCTTTTTCATTACAGAAAAGCTCAAGCCTAGAAAACTTGAACTGGCTCTTACTACGCGCACAGTCCCCGAAACTGTCTTTCTGTAACTTTTCTCTCAACATGGTTGAGATTATAGATGTCAAACATCATTAAAATAATTCGGTGATTTGATCTTCAGTTGCGGTCACTCATCTACTTACTAATCATCGTCCTGACTGACGCTTAATCAGAGAAAGGCAAATTCATTGTCACAATGTCTCGATGAGTCACGCGAGTTAAGTGCGGTTAAAAGAAAGGTAACATCTGACGTATATATTCTCAACTGTGTCGAGAGAAAAGTTACAGAAAGGTAGTCTCGAGGACTACGCGCATAGTAAGTGGCAGTTGCACTTTCCAAGGCTTGTACTTTTCAGTAACGAAAAACCGATTGTAAAAAAAAATTTATTTAGAAAGATATTTGAAGTCTGAGGAGCGACTTTATTCGAGGTCAAAAATGACTACCTATTATCACCGATAAACAAATAAGCAACTGTACTGGTTTTCGATAATCCATAGAATCAAATTAAATTCTGCTA